ATCCTGCATCCTAAATCTCACACAGCTTCTCAGCAGGAGTTGGATTAAACAAGAGAAAATAATTTCAATATCAAGGGATAATGCACAGGAGATGAGAAAACTCTTTCAAGCGAACTCTGTGGCGAAAAGTGTTTCCTCTCCTCCTTTGGGGGCAAAGAGAGAAGAGGAGACAGATAATTAGGAGAAGTCTAAGGCCCTGGATTTCAAGTTTCTGAAACCATTTCTTCAACCCTCTGAGGACAATCAGCTATTTCTGAATCCAGAAAAGCACATCAGAAATATCTGATTACTTAAGACCACAGCCACATAAGGCAGGGCAATATCTGTGATTTGGTTCTATGGTTTCCTTTCTCTTTTTTTCCCCCACATTGCAGAAATGCCTTTAGCGAAAGCTAAAAAAATAAAAGACCAAAATCCAGGTCAAGTGCGGTTTGCACGCCAGGAAGATAATGCCAGATCGATACCTGTGCTTTTGTGACACAGAGAGACAGGGAGCTTTACCCATGGAGCATGAAGTGCAGCTTTGCCGAGAAGGCCCAGAGTACCTTCGGCTGTACCCGGACAGATGCCCCACCTGGCCCTATTGACAGATGGCAGACTTTTACCCACTTGTAACAGCCCTGCCGTTTCCTATACCTGGGCATACACTGGTTGTCCAATTCTTCATCCTGCTATAATCTAGTCTGAGGATCTACATCACATTTGGCAGGCATCTGGGGTCACCGTGTACATTTAAGTTTTGCTGTTTTGAACGAGCACTGCTGACTGTTTGCTTTGCTTGGCGAAAGCAGTTCTGGTGTCTCCTATTCTCACCTGCACCATGGCTGGTCCCTGACAGCTGGGACAGTTCACCGGCATGCCCACCTGGTCACACTCACAGCCCTCTGAGACTCAGAGGGTGACCCCCCTTGACTCTGTGGCAACTTTTTAGGCTCAGACCAAGGGTGCGTGTGTCTACGTTCTCCAAGTGGTGGATTCTGGGTGGGTTGTTGTTGGCATATGGACTGGGACGTACTTCTTGGAGATTAAGTCTTAAAAACAACATTATGGACCATTTATAATGAAAATTTAGATTCTCCAAAGGATATCAAAATAAAGAATTATGCCAATCTGGAAAATATGGGTGCTTCCCTAAGCTGCTGTCAGAGGCCTTATATTCTCAAGTTACTCTTTGGCGGGGGGAGAGAGTGGGGAGGGGCACTTCGGCTCCAAATGATGGTTCATTCGACCAGAGTATATGTTCAACAAATGTGATGAATTGATAAGCACCTGCGCCTGCTTCTCAGATGCCATCCCTGGGGTTGGTCTGGTGATGGGGCAGTGGTCCATCTTTCTTGAGAGCATTCTGCACTTGAGTCAAATTAAAATATCAGCAGACTCACTGGCTAACTTCCCATGAAATTGGTCCGCCCTATTTGGGACTATCCGCTCAGCTCCTCTTGGGGACAAATACTAGTTTTTCATTTCTCATCAGAAAACACAGTGGGCAGACTTAAGGCTGCTTTGAATCTAATGTTTTCTTCAACCCTTTCCCCCAGGTCACCCTCAATAACTTCACGAGGACACCTTCACTGTCGATGTATAACCGCTTGGTGCCGACGAGACTGTGCAAATGGACCAGTCCTTGCTCCTGTTACAGAAGGAGCCCCTTCCATGTCCCAAAGTTTTTCCTTCACCCAGCATTAAGTACCTACTACGAGTTATGCTGTCTGCGAGGGAAGGCTGGGTGAGTGAGAAGAGATGTTAAAACGAAGAAAGGTCTCTGGCCAGTCTCTTGGCACTCTCTACAAAATGAAAATGGGGATTGGTAAGAAAGCCCAGCCTGGGATGAAGAGAAGAAAATCAGAGAAAATTTTCTATTGATACTGCTGCTTGGCTTGGCAGCTGTCCTTGAGCAAAAATAAACTCCCCATGGCAGTGGGACAAGATGCTGATATTGGCACCTGCCAGAGGCAGCCAGCCGAAGTCGCAGCTGCGCTGGTCAAATGAGCCTGGAGACCTTAGGGGGCTGAGACCTCAATGGCTGTTAGCAGCCCACGCTTCTCTGCAGGCAGTTTATTGAAACAGGGGCTTCCCCACCCCTCTGGGCTGGGTCTCGGAACAATCAGAAGTGCAGGTGGCGCATCCCGCTGAACAGCCCACTCGGGCTGTCTCCATGGGGGCAGCAGCTCATCAAAGAGCACCAGGAGCAACAAAAGGATGCCTGGAGAGGATGCAGCAGATGAGACCAAGCTAAGAAGAGGGAGCTCAGGGAAGGGCTGGATGGATGAAATTCCCGCTCGGAGATTAGTATCATCTTCTGATCGTCTGGCTTCCCCATCTTCAGGAAGCCAGGGTTACATGTAAAACAGGCATCTGATGGAATGAGAATCAACTCAGACTAAATTTATAGTGATGAGAATGAAGAATTGATGGGAAGAGACTCTGTTTAACACTTAGGCAGTAAGTAACAAGGATAGGGGTGGGAGCATCAATAATCAATAGGAAAGAGAATTCAACCAGCCAATTCCTTAAGACAACTATTCTTGTGAAATGAAATGTCCCAGGATGGAGGCAATGGCAAAACCCGCAGATTTAAGGCCTCTGCAGTGACACTGTGTTTCAGAGGTATAGTCCTCATGAAGAATTCTAGACAATAGACTTAAAACAAACAGTCACTTGAGAATAAAAGCTGTGTCAAAGTCAAGGAGTCAGATCTACACACGAGATGCCTATCTTAGGAATAAGAGAAGAACGTAGCTTCTTAGGCTATCCAACTCAATTATCAGTTGTTTCACCGTTTTAGAATTTCTAAAAAGAAATTCCTTCCTCTGTCATCTGGGTCTTAGCTCCGTCTTGCTGCCCGCAGAGGCACTGCTGTCTAACTCAAGGAATCTGGCTATTTGTTCGGACATGGTCCATTCACCCATGGCAGGTGGCCTCTTGTTGCACCTTGAATTTGCCTCATCTCTCCAGACTCCCCGAGGTCAGTGCAGACAGGCCCATCTACGATGGCCATACCAGGGCCGTTCGTGATTCAGTGTCATCTGCTGCCATTGCTTTTTGTTATTTCTGGAAAAGATGGGTCTCACAAGTCTCATTTGCTTCATCAAAGAGCAGAAGCAAGGAAGATCACGGGGGTATGAATCCAGCAGCTCAAGATCAGCGTTGAAAGAGAATTAGAAAATGTGAATTCACTTAAGCGGTCCTTTTCTGACCCACAGTATATTGACTCAAATAAGTTGTACACGTCTGACTACCTGAATGAAAACTTATTTTCCAAAAGACAGTTCCTCTGAGGCCACTATTTTGTAAATAATAACAGAAATGCATTTATGCTGGATCCTTAGAAAAGAATTTGCTAATTATTTCCACTCCTACTGCTCTTACATGTCTTTCCCAAAGCACTTTGAAATGCTACCCATTGAAACGCTTCTGCTCTCCCACGTTCCTGGTTCCGCAGATGGGGTGTCGGGGGCGGGGGGGTTGAATCGAGACCACAAAGAAGCAGGTGGGAAATGGGATGCAGCTGGAGAGGACCCATCCTCAGGGAGTACGCATGATAACAACAGTCCTATGACCGACCGAATCGAAGGCCACAGCAGCTCCGGAGGAGCCTTGTCCTGCATTTGATGAGCTCAAACACACAGCTTCTAAGACATTTTTTTTTTTCACTCCAGGATAAACAACTGTTTAAAATAAATGTATTTCAACGGAAACCTCACTCCTAGTGCTCTTTGGACAGTTTTCTCTACTTAGTGAAAAATAACCCAGGTAATTCTCAACTGACGCGTTTTTCTACAAGAGGCTTGTGGAAAAAAATCAGATATGGAAAAATAAATATTCAGGCGGCATTCTGAATTCCCTCTCTTTATTGTGCGCTTCTTCCTTCATGTGCTCTATTAAGAAAGATACACAAACATATATTGGTCAAAGATACTCAACATCGTAGTGGAATGAATGTGCTTCTAATCAGTTTGGCGATCTTGCTTTTCTTTTTCTCTGAAATTAGTGGGGTGTGGCCAGCCTCGATCTGGAAGCCATGGTCCACATGAACAAAATCTACAGTTTTTGTTTCATCAAAGTCAACTACAATGAGATGCTTCTGCAAGAGGCCCGAGCCTCGGCAGAGAGCCCCTGTATCTGGCGGTACCCTCAGTGCAGGAAATGAAAGACAAGAGGTAGTGAAGAATTTTTGCTTTTAGCACTACAAAAGAAAGTCGAACAGGAAAAAGATTTAAGTCACTTGCCTGCTCCAGTCGTGGGACAGATGATGGTGTTTTAGGCCACCATGTTACAACGAGATCACGCCGAATGGTAGAAATACTCGCTTGACATAATTTTGTAAGAATCTCTCTAATGTGTTGTCACTGAACATCCTTCCCCCTGGTTATTTAATCAGCAATTTATTTTTGAATTGAAGATTTGATAACTCTAATATGCTTCTATCTCTGAAGAAAAATGAGATCTTTATTGGTGATGCATGAGGCTTTTCAAAATTTAATTTACGTATTGTACATCCACGCATTCTTCGCTGAAGGCCACCCTTGCTAGCGCTGATAACTCTCATTTCCTCTTGGTCATCTGAAGCTAATCTGCAGCTAATTAGAGCCGCTGTTTACTGCAGAAGTAATCAATAGCTTTCTACAGTAGATCACACAGAATCAGACCCATATGCAATTAGTCTAGTGTAGATACACAGAGATATCTTAATTAAAATAAAATATGCCCCATAAGAGATATGCTTTCATAGATGACTGGAATTCCAAATATTTCGACACATTTAATGGATTTATTCAAAGTGAGAGTCTTCACGAATCCTTTCGCTAATCAAATTTGTTTGATGAATTTCCCTTGAAAACATTTTGAAGGAAGTTAGTACTTAGTATTATACATTTATGTTTATTAACATTTGGATATAAATGTACTTCAAACACCAATAATGCTAAGACTATGCCTTCATCTTGGATTTAACAGATTTTCCAGCCCTGTAACTGGATTCTGACAAGGCAAATGTCAGAGGGCAGAGGGGATCAGTGTGACATGTGCACCGCGGGCTCCCTCCGCCAGCCCCTCCCCCGATGTGAGAAGCAAGCTAGCTAGTGCCCGCAGCACTCTGTGAAGGTGGTCTCCTCTTCTCTACTCAGTTTTGGAGAAACATGGCTACCGGCACTCGATCATTGTAGATTCTGAATCTCACCATTTCAACCAGACTTCAAAAGTGTACTTTTAGGGTCAATCTGTTTAAGCGGAAGATGATGTGTCGTGAACAGACCAGACGCCTTCCATCCTCAGTCCTGTTCTGTTCTGTGTCAACCTGTGCCAACCAGCTCATCTCCACAGACCCCACGTCGACCTTCTCAATCCACGAATGTTTTTTTCACAGACTCGGTCACGGTCTGTCACAGAGGACACAGAAAAAGATGCAAGCAGATTCCCGATAACCTTCAGACGACACTGCTCTAAACAGCGGCCACGCCATCGCCGTTGGGAGTAAAAACAATCCTTGGGAAAAGAACTGTGTACCCCGGCATGGGTCTGCTACCGAAGAGAGGGTGGCATGTCCCCGTCCCGTCCCAGTCCGAGCTGCCTTTCTCAGGGAACAGGAAAACCAAGGTACTGAATTGTGTCAACTGGCAAAGGTGCCTTTCGACGCTGCAGAACATTTACGAATGGCCGCCGGGCTCCTCACAGGTATGCACTCTTGCATTTCAAGAAATGATAAAAGACAGTGCTTGGCTGCTCCGTTTCATCCTGCCTGTCCACAGTAACGTGATGCAGAGCTTTCTGCTCAAGCACGAGGCTCCTCAGAGTCTGCTTTTGAAGAGCTGTATTCCTGAAGTTCACATTGGAGCTAACACTACTTAGGAAAGGAAAACAAACTCCGTGTATTTTTGTATTAAACCATCAGTAAAAAAAATGGAGACGGTTATCGTTACTCTCAAAATATAGAAAGCCAATAGTTGAAACGATTTAGTAGTAAATTTTTTTTCTACATATAACCTCATACATGTAAAGAGTATTAGAGTGATGCTTCAGCTATATTTGACTCTTATTAGTTTAAGGGCTTCTCATTTGGATAAGGCTTAGGAGAATGTCATTCACCGATCAAGGTTCTGTGCAGTTTCACACCCGCTTTCGCTCTCTATTTTGACTAGAAGACAGACACGACATCTGGATGTGACAGGTGCTTTTTGTTTTGTAAGAGCGTGCAGAACTGTTGACGGAACATAAACATTAGAGGGAAAAGGCTGGGATGTGTGGAAACATTGGTAGAAGCTTGTTTGCACATCGTCCATCAGGATTCTCTTGATGAGAATCTTTGATTTGTGACGAGGAAAGCTTGTTAAGCTGCAATTATGTCATCAGAAATGAAAGCCATTACATGAAATACGGAAGATTCTTGAGCAATATTATAACTCCTTAGCTAGCTAATAAAGGCCAGAGATAAACTGTTAAAATCATCATCATCATCATCATGAAAAAAATGGCCCCCGTTTGCTTGACAGCCAAATTTACAAACCATCCCTTTATCATACAATGTACCCCAAAGCCTTTTGAGTTTGGAACGTAGCACTGCACTGGGTATCCCACAGAAGCCCGAAGGATCACAAGAAACTTTCTTTGAAAAATAAAAAATAAAAAAAAAGGAAAAAAGTTCCAGTTGGATGAAACCGTTTTAGCAATCGATGTCTCAACTGAGCGCCTAAAACTGGAATTTCAGATATACAAGAGGACAGGAAACAGATAACTTGGTTTTTGTCTTTTTACATGTCCATATTGTTTTCTAAATGCAGCTACAATGTTTCTGCCAAAGATAAAGATAAAAGAGTGGACAGGGCGGTTACCACCAGAATCAGCAGTGGGCTCAGACCACAGCTTGGAGGAGCGGCCATTGATTTTGTGGTTATGTGGCTGGAGGCACCAGCGAGACCATCCTTTTCATAATCACGCTGTAAGAAAGAACATTTTCATTATCACTCACTGCATGTATTCATTCTATCACAGTATATTTTAACCACACACTCTCTCTCTCCCTCCCCTACCCTCGCACCAGCGAGCTACACCACTCACCAAAGCTGACCCAGGATTTACGCTGACTGACACTGTAATTCCCTGACTTAAAGTTTTATGGGAAGGATCTTGAATTGGGGTGAGAATTAGACACTTTTGATAAAATGTCTGGTCAATGTTTATCTTCTTGCTCTTCTCTTATGGCTTTTAAAATCCATTTGGGGGAAAAATGTGAACTGAGATATCCTGGCTGTTTCTCTCCAATTCCCCAGATACCCCAGTACTATGCAACATAGAACCCTTCTCCTTCTGGGTACCACTGACTGAGGAGGAATGCTGGCTGTCCCTCCCCATCGTGGAAGGAGGGCAGGAAGGATCACCTCAGAAAACTTGCCCAGTCAAGTACTGGTTCACACAGAGATGGATCACAAATCCCATTGGAAACCAGCAGAGCAGGCAGCAGTAGCCTTTCCCCGGACTGGCAATTCAACTCTAGGTTTTATAGAGAAAGAACCTGCCCTGCTCGTCAGTAGGAGAGCCCAGCCCAGAACCCAGACTTCCAGACTCCCAGTCAGCACAGCTGTCCTTCCCCAGGACCCATTACTCCATCCCCACCCAGCATCCCCTCAAGCCCATTATGCTGCATCTCACCACAATGATCATGACAGGATCATCCATCTCCTCACCTGTAAACTGGGGAGAGGAACTTGGCCTGCCCTAGCTACCTCTGGGGTGCTATGGCAACTAAAGGAACTGTAGGTTGAGGACATCCAGTAAGCAGTGAGAGTTATCTGGGCCCAATGATTTTATATGACTGTGGTATTGGGACAATAGTCTTCATGCTGGGTCCAGTTCTGAGGTGAAGACCCCAGGTCCCACACGCACTTCTAACTCTGCGTACTGGGATGCGATGACTGTACCTTGTTCCAAGGCCAGAGGGACATGGGGGTGCCTTACATTCTTTCGTTCTTTCAGGAACCTTGTTGTCGTTGAGCCCCTCACATCATACCCTGCCCCAGGGGGCCCAAAGTCTCTGTCTCTAGAAATGCAGAGAGATCCAGAAAGAAACACAACTCACATCAGAAAGGCAGAGATGTGTACTGCCCGACATGTTAGATTTCTTTGGGAAAGACAAAAACACATACAGAGACAATCACCCCTACATAACACGAAAGAGTAATTACTAACAAACAATCCATTAATCAACTGTCAAGGGCAGTGCCATCAATAGGAATCTGTGAGCTACAACTGTGAGCCCCATATATAATTTTGAATTTTCTAGTAGCCATGTAGGCAAAGAGATAACTGATGAAGTTAATTTTAACAACATATTTTATTTAACACAATATTTACCATTTCAACATGTAATCAATATAAAAATTACTGAGATACTTTACATTTTTTTTCATACTCAAGTCTTCAAAATCGGACACAGCACGTCTTGATTTGGACCTGCCCCATTTCTAAGGCTCAGTAGCTACGTGTGGCTTCTGGAGGCAGCATAGGGCTGGGTTACTGAAGACAAAGTTTTGAAGTCATTTATATTTTGAACTCATTTATATTTCTAAGTGTTAATTTTCGGGAAGTGCCTCTGAGGTAAAAATGTCGCAATAAAAATACCTATTTATTAGCAATACGAGGATAGGTCTTCCTGAAGCTCATTTGTTCATTTGTTTATATGTTGCTCCAGTCAACAAAACACTGAGCTATTTTCCAATGCTGGGCATACGATGATTTGACTGAAGGGATGTAGCTCAGGGCGCTGCTCTCTACTGCATAAAGCACTCACTGCTTGGGAGCTCACTGCCCCACAGGGCAGGGACGCTTTCAGAAGGGTCCCCGATCCAGTCATCTTAAAACTATGTCCAGGACAGCTGCACGGGGCTGAGCTGTGAAAACTTTAAGCTCCCTATTTCCTTGCAACTAGAATAAATCTCCAGGGGCTTCTACCTGAGACTGGAGTTGAAGGAAAGGTTCAGTGCTCAAACAATTACAATGAAAACTGCTGACCCAGGACGGCCCTCTCATTTTATAAAAGCAAAACAATGAAGAGTGCAGAGAAGTTAGGCGACTCCTCCAAGGTCACACAGGAGTTTACTTGTGAGTCAGGAGATAGACCAGGTCTCCAAAACTCTTGAATCAAAACAGTCTTTCTCCCAGGACACCCTGGTATGCTTGGCTGTTCATGCTCTACCTGCCCCCCAAATCCACACGACCCCTCCCAGGACCTCCCCTCCAGAACAGAAGCCCAGTGGCATTGAAAGACAGAGAGCTCATTCACCAACAGGATAAGCCTGGTTAAGCATCACGCCAGAATCGAGGAGTTCCTGGGCAGACAGCTCTGCGTGACTGGCATTGGCAGGCCACCCGTTGTGGGAAGATTTTGCAACTCATTGAAAACATGCTAGGCTGAAATGATAGCATCTTCACCCAAGGAGTAATTTATTGGCCATAATGCTTGGGAGGCATCATAATCTTTACCTATATTTGCATATGCCAGCTGTGAATATGAAATAGAAACCTTTAAACAGGCATCAAGAATAAGATACTGTGAAGCATCCCCAGGCTGTTCAAAGGTCACTAAATGTTATGTGTAAGAAGATCAGAGGGGAAATTGAAAGAGGAATTGAACCTTACTCAAAAGCCTACTTTTAATCTATATTAATAGCAAATCTGGTCCATTGCATTGATACCTGCAGAGGATAATGTGTAGAACTTTACATGTTTTATTTCTGTGCAGGAAATAAATTGGAATTGTGCCCAGACACCCAAACAGCCCTAAAACATCACATTTCGTCTTTTCTTTTCTAGGCCATAATCTCCAAAAGGCATACACCTTTGCTAAGGGCTTTTGCATAACTAAGAAGTTCACTGAGATGCGCAGAGAAGGCAGCCCATCTTCTAGTCTGGGACCCATTGCAACTCTCAAGTTGTTTCTGTATTCGCTGTCACAGCTAAACTTGACCACAGCGGCCTCTAAGAATTCTAAGGGCTAGGTAGGCTTCCTCCCTCCTTTGTTCTGTATAGTTAGCAACCAGCACACGTGTTTTCCTCATTGCGCACACAACCTGAGATGCTCACTGGCCATACGTCTCAGTCACTTCAGGAACCTGGTCGAGTACCCACCATTACTAAATGATCATAAAGGGGCTTCCACCTGTGGACTAGGAAGGTCTCCTCACAGATTTTCCAGAGTGGACTCTAGATCTGCATAGGTAGATTTCTAGTCTTCGTTAGTCACTGAGCATTCAGCTGTGTACACGATTGTGGCGTACAACCAGGTAGACATTCTCAGGTCTAAATTCCCAGGCTCTTGTCTTCCATCTGCGAGTGGCCGGGGACAGCTGTTCGATCACTCAAGAAAATGCATTTAGACCAGTTCTAAGTCTGCAACGTCTCTGGGCTCTTCTTCCCCACAAAGCGGGCGTCTTGCTGGCCTCTATGTAAAGGAAATGGTCAACTTCTGGCCTTGCCTCTCTGTAGCCCCACCAGCTTCACTAAATCTGGAGGCAGCAACCCCAAGCTCACCTTGTCTGGTGGACAATACTGGTTGGCATAACTGGTTGAACTGCTGAGTTAAAGTAATAGAGTGCAGCCGGGCCCCTCCTGATGCTCTGAGAAAATGCCTCTCTTGTTAAATACCTCCTCAACCCACAGAAGCACTTAGCACTCCAGAGGCTTAGCAGTCTATGCACACTGGCTTACTTAGTGCATTAATACAGCTTCCCCAGAGAGGTCTGGGTGGAGGTCCGAGCAGAGCAGCCTTGGAGTTCTACCTGAACCTAGCACGATCACAGGAGGGCTGAGTCCGATCTGCTTGCACTGAGTGGCATCCACTCCAGGCAGAGCACTGTTAGGCTGGATGTCCAGTCCCCCTTAGGGTTCATTAGCGGCAGATGGAGGAGCAGAGATGGGGAATTACGACCTGTATACGTCAGGCTGGTTGCACGCTTATCAGTCTTGTATGCAATCTGAACCCTGCCAGTGACCCCTGAGGTCAGACATCTATCTCTGCAGATCCAGAGTCCACCTAAGAAAACCCAGCTCTTAAAGTCCATTTTAGAAGCATGAGCAACCTGTTATTTCCATATCTTAAAGGCTTTTGTCCTGAGCATTTTTGAAAACATCATCAAAGTTATCACTGTGTGCTGAGTCAGGTATGATAAATGCTAACATGAAAAATTACAGGGCATCCCCCACTTTTAACCATTGTCAAGAGTATTTACATACTTTAAATGCTGTCTCGGTTGATGAAAATTGGGACGGTCCCAAGAAAGTTAAAAACAAAACAAACGTCTTCGATCGTGTAAGATAGAAGGGGAGCTTGAAACTAGAAGAACACCTTTCATCGCCGAGTTCCAGACCAGTGAAACCAAGGGTGTAACACTGAGAGTGCTGGACAGCACTCGAGGTCCTGTCTGTGGGCTCAGCGCCCCTGCTCGCTAACGGGTTGTGCAGGGGCGCCAGCCCCGGCCTCTCTAGACACAAGGCTTTACAGTCTGTGACTTTAAAATAGGATCTCTCTTTAAAAAGAGGGAAAAGAAGAAGAGAATGGATTCATTTTTCTCAAAGTCAAGTTTAACCATTGTTACAGCATGTCGAAAATAAATTATTTAATCTCTTTTATGAAAGAGTGCTCCATAACAGCGAATTGATAGTTATATGGTTATGGGGGATGATTCCCGACTCCGAGCCGGGGGAAACACCACACCAGAACACCCAGGGTTTTCATCTCAAACATGGAGAGATGAAAATGATACTGGGGAAACCCACCCCCCAAACCAGTAGCCCTACGGTCATTCTGGAAATGCGGGGAACCTGTTCTTTAGGCACTTCATAAGCCTTGTCCCTCCAGCAGTGTTATAAAATTGTCACTGGCAGTTATCCACAAGTCCAGGCACGTCACGTAATAGAATTTCCATGTCACTGTAATTGCAGAGCCAGACCTCACCAGTCCCTGGCACTAGAGGGTTAATAAATGCATTAGATGCTGTTAACCTCTGTTACCTGGAGTCAGACCGACTACTCTCCTGCTTTTTACCCCTGTGATTAGCTACTGGAAAGCCTGCCATGGTGCCAACGGTTTTCCTGTATAGAACTCACGGGCACACACATAATTTATAGCTCGCAGTCAGGCCCACTCATCGGCCACTGGGCGTCACACACGAATTCTGCCCACGCTAGGCTCTCCCCAGCCTCGGGGACCAGCGGTCAGCCTCTGGAGCAGCACGCTTGCTCTGTTTATGGAACTGGGGACTTAAAAGGGCACCCACTCGAAACCCGGCCTTTGCTGCCCCAGGACTCCATTTCTGTAGAGAAGCCAGTGTTTAATCTCAGGTTTTTAGGCAGCTGTCAGCCAGCAGGGCATGGAACATTTCTCTACTTTCCTCCATGCATAAGAAAAGCCAGTTTCTGTTCTACCTCCAGAAAATTAAAACAGAGGAAGTCGCCCAATCCAATAGCAACAGACTGTCCAGGCTGCAGCCAAATGGTCATAATTAATGATGCTTCTGGTTCTTTTCTCTCTTGCTTTTCTGATTAGAGAGATTTGCTATATTAGGAACCTGTTTGCTTAATGACAGAATACAAGCAATAAACAGAGAAATACACAGACTGTAAAATGCAATCAACTTTGCTCTCCAGCACTCACTAAGTACCTAGCTGCATCTATCACACTTGTCAATACCAGTTTATTAGCATATGAGTCTTTTCTGCAGCATAAATTGGACCTTTGCTAGGGAAAATCATTGCATGACTTCTTCCCCCAAATAGTCCAGAACGCAAAGCTATTTCTCAATTTAAATCTACACACCTTACATTTTCTTGTAAGACAAAACATAGGAAGAAGGATGGGCAACTAATTCTGAAGGATAACTAAGCACAGTTCTCTGCTTCAGAGTGTGCATTTTTCACATTGCATTTTAATAAAACCGACCCGCCTGATTACACATTATATACCTGATTTTACAGGCCTATACACCTGATTTTATGGGGAGTACTTACTGTATAACAATTCGGTGGTGCACTCGGTACATATTTGCCCGATAATTTCTGCACAATAAAAAAAGAAAAAAAGCAGCAATGTGCTGGTGCATGCAGGCGAAGTCATGGTGATCTGAC